TTCAGTGCGGGTGTAAGCTGCAGGGTACAGGCTTGAGGGTTCAGGCCGGCTTGCGGCTCCACCTGGCCTCCATCTCCATCGCATTCCGAGTGATCAGCTGGAGCGCTTTGCACGAGACCACATCGACGACCTGTGCAAGGAAGATCAGCGTGTCATCGTCTGGCATGCTGCTGCTGAGGCACCAGGCCGCATAACCGCGTTCAGGCCACGTGTGGATCTCAGTTTCGGGAACCAAGGCTTTCATAAGAGATGAATTTTGCAGCTGTGCGGCACGTGCTGCTTGCTTGGCCCGCCCGCACCGACCAGCATCAAGCATCGGCCCGTCTCTTCTCTACTCTGCCGCAAGGCAGTGCGCACCCAAGCACGGAGCACACACCGTTGACGCAAGATAACAAAATGGAGCAGCACGCGGAGCAGGGCCACATCAGCACGAGCAGGAAGCATTCCACAAACAGTGAGATGTCATACATGTGCACGATACGAGTAAGGCAGGCAAGCATGACAGTCCCAGAATACTTTGGGGTTGTGGGGAAACGGAAAGGTTAAAATCACGACTACAAGCCGGCTCAGGTTTCCAAGGCGCTGATGTTTTTCGAGGTGGGTCTGCTGTACAGTGGCGGGGCCTCCCTGTCGTCGTGCACACGGGTTTGTACGGGCGGCATCGGTGGTCGGTATTGGTCGGTGCCGGCAGCCCACCTCTACAACAAATTCTTGCGGATTCTTGCGTCGTCGAGTGATTCGCCCATGAACAAATTCCAAGACTTGAACTGATCCCCTCGTAGGGTTCTGGAGTGATTGTGCCACAATTGCATTCTGCGCAAGTTGTCAGTTTCAGCAGGAGGGTAAGGCCAGCCGAACAATTCACCCCCGACCCTTCCGCAACTCTTCCACACTAGGCTCCTGACGGACAGGTGTGACTCCGATACCAGCAGCAGCGCAGTCACACCCTGTTGAAGGCTGCGGCTACGACACTGCCACAACGCCAACGACAGCTGCGTTGGAGCTTCGCCTGTGGATGGAACTTGTGTTCCAGGTGTCCGAGCACGGTAAGGTCGCCCAGCGTCGCCTCAAGTCACCAAGCTGTAATTCTGCGCTGCAGAGGTTACTTGGCACACTATCTGCTGCGTGAACGCAATGCCCTCGGCACGACTGAGCCTAAACGTTGAAAGCGCTGCGCACACCGTTCGCCGAAGGAGGTTTGCCGAGCCAGAACCAAGTCCCCGTGCCATCAAACCGATTCAATAGCGGGACAAAACTTGAGAGCAGGGCGGACGAAAGCTAGGGACGAGGAGTGGGAAGTCCGAGAAAGAAGACTGCAACCAAACATCTGAATGTGTTCCTCTAGCTGGCTGTGCTCGGTTTCATCTAGGCCAGGAGAAGCAGTGAACTAAAGTTCATCGTCAACTGCCATCTGATACTGCAGAACTGCAATCT